GAAGCTTATAACGGACTATGAAGGCGAAAAAGTTATACGAATGCGTCGATTAACACTTCATTCAGACTCATTCAATCGAGATATGCAATTTTCAGAGCTTCATTTATGACGAATATGCCATTGCAATCTTTATTAATAATCGATGGCACCATCAAGAATGAAGCAACAGAGAAGGAAACATGAAATGATACCCACACAAGAGCGAAAAGAATCTTATCAGGTGAATTTTTCCACTTCGGGTTGAACTTGTCTGTGAAGCTATTCAAAATATATTGATATCGCATAGAACGCCCCATCAATCAGACTCTATCAAACTCGTTCGGGTATAGCGATGTACACGGGAAATAATCGAGGATCATGACCTTAATATCTGACTCTCTAAAACGCAGACAAAACGCAGACTTCCGCCGTTTCGGGACACGCCCACAATAACGACCAGTGCTTGCTCTGAAACGAAGTAAAGCTTATTGATAGAGAATTGCATTGTTGCAGTTCTCTTTACTCTTTCTTTTTCCGTTTCCGTTTTTCGTGTTACTGCCACACTCTCGATTCATATGTATTCAATACCAACTGACAGATGTCCCCAAGTAGATCCATGCGTTCGTCATATAGCCGACTTCCTAAACAGCTCAAGCCATCCAGATTTGAGTCTATGCCCAGTGCTGTTCATATTTTAGCTTCGTGTTAGTCACGGACTTAGAGTAATCATAAAGTTGCAGATACCCAATCTGACTTAATCACTCTTGAAATTACAGTCCTACAGCGGTTTCATCTGACTAATTCTACAAGAAAGCCAAACATACCAAGCAAAGCTGGGAAAAAAAAATAGTTCGCTTTTCTTTATCAAAAACGGCGAATTTTTTGATAAAGTTCGTTTAATAAATCCCTCATCCCCGTCAGTTTCCGTGCAAACAGTTTATATAGACGCGGTCCCGCCCTGGGATATATATATATATATTTTTTTTTTCTGCTAAAATCTGGCACAATTTAAACATTCTTAACAGGTACGCTAACACTCCACGATTGATATAAACAATTGACCTAGCGATCACATTTTATTCATATGATAATGAACTAGATGCTAAGTGAACTAGTACATGTATGAAAGTAAGAATTAATGAAAGTCCACAGGTTTGATTTCCATTTCAGATGTTATTGGAGCACTCTCTTTTGCGGTGCCAGTTACCTCCCCCCAGTGGATCTTTGGCTCGGCCCAGGTCCTCGCCACGGTCTTATTTTTCTTTCACAATCCCGAGAGAAGCACCATTGAGATCTGAAAAAATAGCACACATAGATCTGTTGACTTACCACCAACCTCGAGATATATTATGGACACAGTGTTCGTTCACTTTATCCCAGGTACCAAACGAATGGCCATTATGATACTTGAAAGAATCATAGACAGTTGCATCTGCTAAAAATAACAACAAAAACAATGATATTGACAATATTAACGATAATAATAATGATAATAATAATAATAGAAACGATAATAACTACGACAATGATGATATAAACAATAAATCATGATACTAATTGATTAGAATGATGATATATATTACTTGAGGATGTTGGTGACCTTAATTGCTACATTGATCATGTTTGTCTAAAAGAAGCTGATTGACTTATAATATTTCCGAGGCTCGGCTGGTACGTGGCTTTCTTGTCTCTGATCCCAAACCACAAATATTCAGCCTAGACAGATCTACTCGAAGCCTGTTTCCGTCACATTTTGCGTCCGACGATGGATCTTTTACAATCCGAGCCAAAACTCGCCAATAAAGCAATTACCGAGGCCATGCTTGTAGTCAATCCAAATGCATTTATAATTCACGCAACCCATTTAGTCTCCTCTGAAACACTGACCATCCCCCACCGGCTGTTGTCTGGTCACAATACACTATGAAGGAAACTGAAATATCAGGGTCGATTGTGTAAACACCGCTGATTATTTCACCAGAATAACCACCCCCCGGTTAGCCGGTTAGCTCAATTGGTTAGAGCGCCGGATTGTGTTGTGCGGGAGGTGGAGGGTTCGAGCCCTGGCCGGACCAATAAAATAACTGAGGAGAATTTGCTACTTTTCTATAATATCAAGAAATGGATAAATATTCTAGTCTTCTCGGATAAGGACGAATAAACCGTAGGCCCCGTCTCCTGCAGGGTTAGGGGTAGGAGACGTTAATTTCCCACGCACGAGATTACTGTGTGGGGGATGTCCTCCCCTGGGGTGGGAAAGGTAGGTGTTCACAGGGCCCAATTAAAACTAGCTATCTGCTCAACTAGGCTACACTTTATAAATATTCGTAAATACATACAGACTTATAAAGCTCAGCACAACTCTTAACTGTTGAAGTAAGAATGTACAGGGCCGCTGGTTTAACAACAAATATTGGTAAAGCAAAGAGAGTATCGTAATTTGAAAATAACAGGGCACTTATGGAAGAGGGGAGGAAGGGGGAGTAAATATGTGGAGATAGGGGAAGGAAGGATGCAATTTCAAAAGATGTGTTTCAAACTTTCTTTGAGGCATAATGGATTTTCCACCATAATAGGCCTCAATAGGTTCTGAAAATAACGAAAGGGGTCTACGGGAACAAATGGACAAAAAGGTCCATGGTACACGAAGACATGACAGGCAAATAATTTTGATTTGTTGTTCTCCAGCACTTTACTTCGCATTACTGCAATGTATGATCGCTCAACAACGAAACGCTACGATCCCCAATGCCCCCTTAGTAAGTAAGTTAAACTCTGAAGACGTTTTGACCACAAAGCATAGTCACGTCTCAACAGTGTTCCAGACTCTAAGGCTTGGCAAAGTAAAATGCATGATATATATCTCTCTCCAGCACACGGAGTTTGCGAATCCTAAATTAAAACTCTTCTTTCTCACGAATGGCGAAGGCTTTATACGTAAATATAAACGAAACTGACATTATACCAGGGTTTTAAGCCACGGTTTATCCGTCTCAAACAAAGTTTTCTTCATATAAAAAGCGCACACCCTACTCTTTAACTTTCTTTCAAGCACTTTCCAGTGCTATTTTGTAGAGAACCACACGTAAAAGCGTAACCTTAAAACGACGTAAAGAGAGTCACAAGCAGCAAATTAGAAGCTACCTGTAATTACCTCATTAAGCGATGCGCTGGCTCACTCAAGGTATTAGATACAGATACAGGTTTTAAAGCAACGTTAACACGTTTAAAAAAAAAAAACGCAGATAATGCAAGGTCGTAAGCTTCTATTTATACCTTCCCAAGGGGTCTCATCCTTTTCGAGTCATTGCCGTGCCTCGCGTAGAAAGGCCCCTGAACAAATAAATGAATAAATAACTGACATAGTTCTTTGCATTGATCATTAAAGCGATCTTGGTAAACACTGTGGGAAAGTTTGAATTAGAAATTTATTACTGGGTCAGTGACATATAGAAGTTTATGTGTGCTGAACAACTAATGTTATGGAATCACACATCAAAATCCACATTTTTTTACTAATCTGAAAAGATGACAAATCAGTTTCACGGATCATATGGGTGTGGTTTGCGTGGTGACGATTTGTCTGGAATTAGTAAAAATGCATTGATTAGCAGCTACACATCTAATGATCGGAGCTGCAAGTTAGGAATATATACGTTCTCTGTTGTTCGAAATTTTCCTCGAGCCACTATGAACTGATGTTGTCGAGGTTGGAAATTTTTAAGAGGGGATGACAAGTGGAACTTTGGCCTTTCACAATTGTTAAAGAGTCGAGAGGAGCATTACCTAAAACAGAATTATTAAAAATAATAATCTTTCGCAAAAATCACGCACGTTGATTAGGGCTAAGACCCAAGCCGACTCTAACAAGAGGTAGACAGCTTTTGTCATTAGGGTTTGACACTATTCAATTGACGCTCATTGCTAAAACTTCCATAACCACCTGATTCAACTAATATTGCTGTACTGAAAAATTCTCTTTCGCACTCCATTCGTAAGAATAATAATGTGAGCGTAGGACTTCGACCTGGAAGGATTAAAATTCTTCTTTGAAACGCTCTGTGTGGCATGAGACTCGTGCACGGAAACAGGATTTTAGCCCATACTTTCCTGCAAACAAGAACTTTGATGAAAATTTTAAAGCAAGGTCTGTTTTCAAACTCAGTTATTTTTTCGAGAATCAAGCCATGGTGCCGTCAATAACGTACAGACGTTGAGGCAAAACCTCAGAAGGTTCATGAATCTTATGACAAGCATGGAGATTACAAAACAATCGGATAAATAACTAAACAGTTAGAAAAACTAATTAAAAAATTTAACACGACTAATTTAAGAAAAACAGTCTCAGAAAAAGGTCATCAAAACATGACAATCAAATTCAGAAAATCCATAAGCTTAAACTAACGTTAGCACTTCATTACATTATCTATCTATTCTGTTGCCTATTGACTTACCAAAGTTTGGAAGTCTGTAGAATACATCGATCACAGAGTTTTTCGTTGTTAATGTCGTTTTTAATATTTCGTCATATTCAGTAAATAAGACTAATATGCGAATGATCTTTGAATTTCCGGTGTTAAAATAGTTAAGACCCTTTAAGCAACACACAAAAAAAGAAAAAAAAACTGTGAGGATACAAAACTGCTTTGTATCATTTAACAATCATGATACTACCTTAAACTTTCAATAATCTGGTACAACAACAGAAAATAGACTCTTTCATCATTACACGTCAGTGCCTTAGGCGCTTCAGCCAATGCATTTGGAGGTACCTTGCTCGAAAACTAATTACCTGCTGATTGTACTAAAGGTTTCTTCTGCACATCTGAGAGAACGCTCCATTCTATGTAGGAATTAATTTACTTGCTAGACTAACTCATTTTAATAACTGTCTGACTTCCATTTGCGCGTTGTATTTTCTTCACCACAACATTAATCTGTATTGCATGTCAACTTATTGCAGCTTTGAATTGGATCAAGCCTTAGACCACAAACTGACTTTTGTTTCCTTGAGCTCCACCATGCTGTTTTTTGCTCTTTTCTTGACGACAAGCCTTTTAACGCTTGCAGCCCCGTTAGACTGCCACAACGACATTGAAAACTCTTGTAACGGAACATCAGTAAAAGGTAAGTAGATGGAAATTTCATACACTTCCTGGTCTAAACATTGGCGCAAGCGAAGAGAAATTGTTTACGCCAAACAGATTATCCCAATTGTCAGTAACTTTCGATACTCATTGCGAGGTTTGTCGGTTAAGGCACTGGTTCATTGAAATGCCGAGATTTGATGGGGGACCGAAAGGAAATTCGAAATGAAATTCGAAATGATATCATCTATCCAAGATAGGGTATAAAAGCGTGGAAAACTGTTCCATTTGTACAAATGTGTACAACTCAGTTGACAGAGTTTAGATATTTTTCGTTCGTTAGCGAAGGACTGTGCTGACTTGTACAAGTCTGGCGGAAGAATCAGCAATGTCTATTCAATCGAGCCACGTGATGGTTTAGGCGCATTTGACGTATTTTGCGACCAGACTACCGCTGGTGGAGGGTGGACAGTTCTTCAGAAGAGACTTAATGGCTCCATGGATTTCAATCGTACCTGGGACGAGTACAAACATGGTTTCGGAAATTTCTTCACTCACGAATTTTGGCTCGGACTGGACAAGATCCACCGCTTGACAAGAAATGAGACGGCAAACAGACTTCGCATAGAACTGGGAGTAACTAATGAAGAGCCACTTTACGCTGAGTATGGTTGCTTTGGTATTGGAAACGAGAGCACCACCTACCGACTGAAACTCAGCCATGGTTGGGGTAAGTCAAATTGCTTCGTTAGGCCTATCCTCATCTGCCTCCTCATTAATTATCGTAATTATTTCATCATCGTCCATATTTATCATGGCTCTTTTAATGCTTCTTTCCTTTGCTGCTAAATTAATGTCTCTCAAGCAACTTCATGAAATGCGAGTTTAGTGGCAAGCATGTACATTGCTTTTCTCACGCTGATGAATGAAATAAATAGCTTGTCTCTTTGTCATCCATTTGCTACTCGGTGCCGAAGCATATGATCTATGATTTGAATAGAGACGTTATAGATGTTAGTGGAACTCATATTTCTCGTCAACTCTTTAGTTTTCTTGAGAAAAAATCCTTTCCTTTTACAAGCAAAATATCGCTCTCACTATACTCATTATTATAAGATATTATTTTATAAATTATTTTACTATATTATGTTATATTTTATACTATATTGTAAATACACAATTCAGCTTAGTGGCCTCAAGTTTTTTACAAATAAACTATCTATTACTATCTGATACAATGAATATATGAAAGTTCATATATTTAGAACTGCGGTATTAGATACGCATGATGCACGATCCTCGCAGTAGAGAGCGCTATTTATGCAATAGCGAAAATCAGACCTGAAAAAAATCAGGCCTGTACGGGATTCGAACCACTGACCTCTGCGATACTAGTGCAGCGCTCTACCAATTGAGCTAACAAGCCAACTGGGAGCAGGCCGTTAAGTTGATTCGTAATAAACCCGTGATGATAAATCAGATACAATGAATATATGAAAGTTCGTATATTCTATTACTATCTATCAAACATAGAACTTAAAGCTTCAAGTTGATTGACTGATTGATTCGTTATTATTATTATTTTCTTTTTGGTTTTTCGACAGGTGGGACTGTCAAGAATGATTCTTTTGGTTTCCATAATAACTTCTCTTTTGGCACTTGGGATAGAGACCCTGCTCATGGCAAGTGCAACAAGGAACGTGGAGGAGGATGGTGGTACAGTAAAAATTGTGTGGTCTCGTCAAACCTCAACGGTCTTTACCCAAGCAGTGGAACTCCTCTCGGCAACATCCACTGGGATGATTTAGGAAGTACTGCTGAGGCAAGTGCTCCTGAAAACACTGAAATGAAAATCAGACCAGTGGACTTTAAATAGGTGTTCTCTTACCAATAGTTCTTTAAAACATTACCTGATTTAAACCCTCATTTACAAAAAGGCAAGTATTTCTAATAGATCGATAAGTTGATTTATGAAGAGGATTGCATTAGAATCAGCTGACCTAGGATTTGTTTTCTACATTAGTCGCACTAAATATGTAATTATGTAGTTAACATGTAATTATATAACTGCCGGAAAAGAAAAGATAAATAAAAGAGCTTTTCATCAGCAAACGTTCCTTCAATATTTTTCAAAGGGAGGTGAGAAGGGTGGTCGTTTAGTGAAAAATAATTGCAGTGACAGTGTTCTTCCTCCTGGAATGGAGGAGGGAGGGGATGGGGGTTCGTTCTCATGCAGACCGGCTTGCACATAAAACATCTACCGATAAAAAAAAATAAAAAAAAATAACTACTAGCTTTATGCCACACAGATTCTTCCGAATCGCACGTTTAAAAAAACCTGAATTCATAGAGCACCAAAAAAAAACATTGCTCGAGTATCATGAACACTCCAGACACCCTTAACAAAGGCCCTTTTCAAGAAAACGAAGAGAAAAAGCTACTTTTGAGTATTATTTGATTTCAAAAGTTCATGTTCAAGAAGATTCCGTATGCCATATTCGATTTACTTGCTTTAGAAAGTTCTTGACAGATTTCGGTGAACAATTCTGCCTTATGCCAACACTTAATGAAATTAATTTCTCAGTCCAAGCGTTGTTAACATCAAAACGTTTTCGAGGGCAGATTCAAAACCATTCTGCTTTAGCCATGAAATAATTTTTTTATTTAACTTTACAGCCTCGCAAAGCGTAATGAGATTTCTTTAGAAAAAAGAGGCTAACGGGCAGAAAGAGAAAGGGAAAATAATCATATGAAGGACGTAATGGAAGGGTAAACAATAGAGCAGGAAATTGATTTCCGGAAGAGAGCAGAAAGAGTGAAAATATTGCGAGAAATAAAAACTGCGTTGAGGTTCACCTTATTTATTTTGAACATTGAGCCTTGCGTGATTATGGTCAACAGAATTTTTGGCATTTCCTGAGAAAAATAAATCATCATTATTTTTATCGTCATTTTTCCTTGTAGAGACTGGTCTCATGATTTGGATTTAAGAAAATCGTTGACATGTCGCATTTGTGGTTCTAGCATTTCTTGTTGACATTCCGAGACTCCTGAGAGAGCCTCCTTGGGATTTAGTTGATATCAGATATGATATGTACTGAAGATAAAGATGAAACTGAGAAAATATGGAATATGTAACTGAACGTGATATTTGAAATAGATGCAGGAAACAACTTTAGTAGTTACTACTTCTAATAACCAGAAACAGAGACTCCGAGTGCAGCCGTGTAGGCTTTTGAATCATTTGACTCGCAGAAGGACTTGAAAGTAATCAGATTAACATAAATCATCCAGAGCAAAGTTCATAGCACAGCCCCTTCATGAAACGATATTTAGTTTTAAGAATCTGACAGCTAGACAAGACAGTCGAATTCAGGAAGAGGGCTAGATGATTTTGGCTTACACTAAAGTAACCTAAACACATTTCAACATTCCTATTCAATTAAAAAGGAAAACAAAATAAGATCAGTGGCATTCGTAAAGCTGCTTTCTAATGATGGTAATAAATTAAGATAATTATCAGGAATATCATGATACTAGCAACAATTTACATAAAAATTACGTGGCGTCATTAGATTAGGTAGCGGAGCATGGGGTGCACACCGAAAACGAACCTCATTGGCCATAAAATAGCAACAGCAGCAAGTTTCTATGAGGAAGGTGAAAACATTTCTATAGACTAAACGACAGTTTTGAAAACTGGCAGTCTATTACATGGGAGGGTGGCCTCGCAGTGATTCTGTCGCTTTTACGGCTTAAGCTACTAACCATTGATAATCAATTGCGTGCTCGTCCAAGTTCTTCGAAACAAATTAATCGTTGTTGATATCATTATGGAAAAACTGTTATGCGTGCATCAATCAGGTAATACGAGACAATCCGATTTCAATCAAACTGGATAAATTCCCATAGTCTACTGACACCAAAACCTCTTACACTTAGGTAGGGGGGAATAGTTAGTACAGCAGCCCACACCCATTCTAACACGAGGTACACAGTATCAGTATTATGTTTTTATACTACCATAGTTCATTTCTGCAACTTCCACCACCACTTGATTCAAATTATCTGCTTGCATAGAAGTATACGTATAGGCACTCCATTCATAAGCATATGTGAGCGTAAGAGGTAACTGACCTCGAAGGATCAAAATTCTTCTTTGAAACCTAAAAAACTTTCACGAGACTCGTACACGTGAATATCATTGTGGTTTATATTTTCTCTCTAACAAGAACTTTGATGAAGGTTTAAAGAAAGGCCGGTAGGAGAAGCCATCATCCAATATTGGCTGACAGGAGTTATTTTTGGAGAATCAAGCCATGATGCCGTTCAACGACAGAAACTTCGAGGTAAAAGCTTGACATACGGTTAAGAGGGTTCTTCAATATTACCACTCGCGTGAGGATTAAAAGAGACAATTGGATATAACTACATATCTAAAGAATTCCAAAAACTCATCTTAAAATTCTACAACGAGACTTATTTAAGGAAAGAAGTTTTAGGAATGAACATGAGGATGTGACAATCAAACACAGCGAATTCATTTTGAGAGAAACACTGAGAAAATTTCAACTACAATAAGCCATAGAATTCCATTACACTTTATGTCGGCTCAATGGCCTTTTGTTTTTAAGCATCCGACTCGTAAACTGTGGACCCGGATAAATCACATGATTACAAGCGTCGACATGAAAGAATAAATTACGGAGTTTTGCTTGTCTTTTTTTTTTTTTTTTTTAAATGGTTTTCGTCATTAGAATGGAATATTGGTTTCCCCTGAAACACTCTCAATTACTATTGTGAATCTATACCATTTTATGTTTTACATTTAACCGCAGCATGTTGCAATATCTCATGTCTAACAGAGTGGATCGGTGACAGAGCGAACGATACCTCAATCTTAATACTTTAAGAACATTTAAACCAATTTTGTAGCAAATATTTAGAAAACATGACCAACGCTGCGAGAAAACTATGAATTTCCGGTGTTAAATCATAAAAGTTCCTTGGCGCAAAAACAAGATCAAAAAAAAAAAAAAAAGATAAAATGTGGGAATACTGCTAAGCGTAATTTTTTTTACAATACTGCCTCACATTTTCGATAATCCAATACTCTGTATTCGCGGAGAAAATACAGTGCATCCGCTACAACTGCAAACAGTAGACCTTTTCATGATTACACGTCAATGCCCCGGGTGCACCAGCACATAAGTTGAGATGTACTCTGCTCGTAGACTAGGAGTCACCGGCTCACCTGCCAACAACGCTGATGTTCCATTACTGCTTGTACCGGTATAATCAAAGTTTCTTTTGTGTATCTGAGATAATGCTCCGTCGTCTGTATGAATGATTTCCCTTGTTAGATTAAATAATTTGATAACTACCTGATTTCCATGTGCGTGTTCTATTCTTTATAGATCGACAAACTTATAACTTAAAGCTTCATTGAGTTTTTCGGGATTGTAAAGTTGATTTTTTCAATTTACTTTTATTTGTTTTTCAACCAACAGATGTCATTGTCAGGTTTGATTCTCTTGGTTTCCATAAGAACATCCCTTTTGGCACTTGCCAAGTAAAATGAGAAACGTGGAGGAGGATGGTGTTACCAAGAAAATTTTCCCGTAATGTCAACGGTCATTGCCCAAGCCCTGTCTCTAATTTAAGTTCTTGCCAATCGGGCGCTATTTTCCTGCTCTTAATTTCGGATTCCTAACACCAGGCATTGATGATAACTGTGATGTTTTCGAAATAGGTTGTAAAATCCTTACGCTAGTTTTGGCGATGATGGTTTGATCGCTGACATCTGTTTCATCTGAACGGACACCAACGCCCGAATACACTGAAGGTCAGAAAATGTTGTATTAGTTTCAGTTCTCTCAGTAGCTGGCTGTTGCGTGTGTCCTTTGAACGGTTGAAGGAAAGCCTTAGAGGGAAAGAACAGACAAATTGAAGCAATATTTTATCTCTTTGTAAAACTTAGTTCATTAGTTTGAGTTTCGGCAATGACACTTTTCTCCTATCTCCGCTCTTACACGGCAAACGTAAGTACAATTATTGTTCGAGTTAAGATTTCAAGTGATTTGAAACTAATTGCGTCTCTTTGTACTCTAGGTGAATAATTATTTTGTTTGTTTGTTTCATATACTCTTAAAGAAGGTGTTAAATTTCTTCTGCAAATTTTTCCACGATTTAACCCTTTGCACCATAACATGTTTATCCTGCACTGGGCTCAGTCTATAGATTTTCTATAATATTGACTTTGGGAATTCTTATTCGTCCATCGAGAGTTTTTCCAAAAATCGGTTGTTTCCTTCATTCTCATGACCTCGAAGTTTTATTTATCTATTTTTTTTACAATAACTGTGGAAATTCTCGTGCCCTCGTT